AAGGAGGCAGACGTACCCGAAAGCAAGTCGAAAGCGAGTCGAAAGCGAAGAACCCGGCCGGGGTGAGGAGAGAAAGAGTGAGAGGGGGGTCTTATATACCTTGGACAGAGGCGGCTGACTGCCGTGCGGCTGCCGGGTCAACGTCAGCTTCGACAGCACCGTCAGCCTCTGCTCCACCCAAGTCGCGCTCTCGATGCGTGCAGATCGAGCACGTCGATCCTGCCTGTCATGCCTGTCAGCCACGCTGTCAGCCACACCGTCAGCCTCCCTTGTATGATCGGCGGTGGAGGGCGCACATGTCGGCTGGAATACTTTATTCAGTCCTTGCGGGTGTGCCGATGTCTCCTGCAAAACGTAAAGGAAGGGCAGGGAGGGGAGGGGAGGGACATACTACGTGATGCTTGACATATCTCTGAGCCTCCTTCACACAAGGGTTTGCCTTGAGATCGAGCCAACCACAGCCCGATCTTCAAAAATAGTAACGTATGTCTTCCGTTCAATAGTGACACTCTTGTCAAGGTTTCTGGCACAATGGCCAAAAGTACACAAATATGATAAACGCGCCCCCGAAGCATCCCCATGCATACCGAAGAACTCCTCAGGTGCAGTTTTGCATTGTTAGCCATGCAGTGAACACGAAAGAGCTGTGAGTGAATGCATAGCGAGAGATTCGGCAGTCCTCCTGGGTCTGTAGTCTGATGTATCTCGTGATATGCGAGAACGCCGTTCGAGTAGTCATATTTTCCATCAATTAATGCACGGTGATAGAGGCTACACACCAATTAACGCTGCTTTCAACGGCTGCTAGTAGTGTCAGTGCTGTTCCCTCCCGCACAGCACTTATATCATCTAGAAGAGCCGAAGGTGGCAAGGGCTTCCTAAGCTGCCCGTGTCTGAGAATTCCCTTTCATAAGTTTTATGGAGGAGGGACTACATAATGCATACGAGGCGTCAAACTCGCGCAGGCGCCACAATCGCGTCTGTCACGTGCATTTGGGCGCGATCGCGGAAGCAATTTCTCGCAATCTTCCACAACATTGCGATTCTTGGGCTTCCCCTCTAGCACTCTTTCGATCTATTTCGCTCTGTGCTGCCAGCGCTCTGTGTTAAATACGCGACCTATGAACCCAGAGGCGTTGCTTCAGCCGCCAGATACGATAAAGAGTCCTCTTACGGATTTGCGTCCACCGCCTGCTTACGTATAAACTTCACTCAAGAATTTCAGTCAGAAAAAGTACATTTTCCAGGGTCGGGTCTTGTTTCCATGACAAAAACAGATACTGAATTGACACAATCTATCGTGATATGCAGACGAAGTCACGACTGATCAGAGTACCTCAGGTCAGAGCTCATCGTGACTTTGTGAGTGTATGTGGCGCCGCACCTTACTCCAGGAAAATACAAATTCCTTTCTTGAAGCGTTATTCAGCCATTCATAAAATGTGCGTCAATCTCACATATTACAGGACAGGCGCGACGTAGATACCTGATACATCATACACAACTCTAACGATGTGCGCTCTCCTCCACCCCGCGAGTTTTGCGGCTGACATGTCATCCATAGAGAATCCTCGAGGAAGTTAATTCCCGGAGAATTACCGACACCGGCTCTTCGCGATAGCATCCCTCAATATCAAGAGTTCTCAAGACCTGGTGATTGAGGAATTCTGTGTTCTGAAGTGTCACTACTGCTAGCACCAGCGACAGCAATATATCGCAGATTCGGAAAGTGCTGAATCATTGCTCGCCTCCAGAACTGATATGCGATCCCGCTGGTTGACTAATCATAGACTGAGCGACTGTGGGTAGTAGCATATCATACTGCCACTCCAATGCTCTGCGGAGCACTGTTGTCTGTGTCAGTATCCGCGGAGAGATACTAGGTGCAGGTGCCATCGTCTCAAAGGTATTCCACGGAACCATGTTGCCATTCCAGATCAGTTTCACGGTCGTTGCGAATGCCTGAAAAAACTGTGGCGCGGCACTCCGCCACAACGCTGTGCTGGGATCGCTGTGGTTGGCCAACTTTTCCCTTCGAACGGAAGACATACGTTACTATTTTTGAAGATCGGGCTGTGGTTGGCTCGATCTCAAGGCAAACCCTTGTGTGAAGGAGGCTCAGAGATATGTCAAGCATCACGTAGTATGTCCCTCCCCTCCCCTCCCTGCCCTTCCTTTACGTTTTGCAGGAGACATCGGCACACCCGCAAGGACTGAATAAAGTATTCCAGCCGACATGTGCGCCCTCCACCGCCGATCATACAAGGGAGGCTGACGGTGTGGCTGACAGCGTGGCTGACAGGCATGACAGGCAGGATCGACGTGCTCGATCTGCACGCATCGAGAGCGCGACTTGGGTGGAGCAGAGGCTGACGGTGCTGTCGAAGCTGACGTTGACCCGGCAGCCGCACGGCAGTCAGCCGCCTCTGTCCAAGGTATATAA